AATGCAATTATAGAGAATTATTAAAAGTGTAAAGATATTTAATCAAGCAAGTCCCATAGAAATTATTCAATTGAGAGCAGAATAAATAATGGCGATAGAAAAATCATTTAAGTATTTTAATAATCAAATAAAATATAATAGTTTAGTAAAAATTAAAAGAATATTGTTTCATTCCATTTCAAGATGTAACAATCGATAATGAACCTTATGAAACATTTTATAATAAATTAGAAAATATTGAAAAGAAGTAACTCTTGATCATGCCTTTAAAATTATTTCAAGAAAAAAAAACGAAATTTTTTTAGAAGTTCAAAAGATTCAAAAAAATGCTTTTTTGACACTATGAAAAGTTATTTCGAAAGTATTTTGATGAGATTATCAACAAAAAAAACTCGATTTAAACGTATAATTAAAGAAATGAAAAAAATTTGTTAATAAATCGAATTTTATAAAAGAAACTATCCCAGTTATCATTACTAAACTATCAATGTATTTTAAGACAACCTCATTGTATTCTAATTTTTGGAGTATTCATACTATTAGAAATTGATGAAAAGACGAGTTCACTTCCTTCTACTCAACCTGCTTAGATTTTAACTGGACAAGAAAAATCTTGAGTCTGAACTCTCTTAGGAGAACTTTTTAGTTTGATTGGTTATCAGATAACAGTATATATAGTTTCAGACATTCTATCAAGAGAAAAACTATCTCCTACCAATATTAAACAAAATGAAAAAAAAATTAATTTTTTTGAACTGATAAAGTTGATGTATTTCTTTTCACATCAGTTTGGTGAATTGTATTGTCCAGTAGTTAGAGTTAAAAGGGTGGGTGTGGGTATGATTAAACAGACTACCAAAACTGACACTCACACCCTCACACCCACACCCACCCAACATAGAAGAAAATCATAAAGGGTAGGTGTGAATTCTATTATTTCATCCTTAAGACTAAAAACTGATGAAATTTTTCAGTTCGACATTACTTGACTTCACGGTAAAGACTTCTGTTTTTTTATTGATAGAAAATCTATGGAGTACAAAGAATTGGATGAAAATAACAGTAATCAGTGAGATACGATGAATCGATCTAACCAAAATTTGATATTACTTATTCTATGCTCAGCGTGCATTCAATAGTTTTGTATTATATTTGAAGAAAATCATAATTCTAATAATAAAATTCATTTGGTGTGAGTTATCATTCTTAAAAAAAATTAAGAATCATTTATTAAAATTCATGCATACAGTTTTTATATAAGCATGCATTGAACAAATATATTTCGAACAGTTAATATTAAATGTGTAAGATAATATTAATCAAGGTAACATGCACTAATACATATGAATCACACGATGTAAGAAAAACTCTAAATCAAGTCTTGTCACATTTCGAAGTTGAATATCACTATCAACATCTCTATAACATTCTATATAATAAAAAAATAATGAATATATTTTTTCATAATAAAATACAAGTTTTTCTAAAATGTTTCGTGAATTTAATTGCATATAAAGTAGATGCATATATATATTGTTGGAAATATTATGTAGGATGTGATTGTTCTTTTCGCTAAGCACATAATCATACTCTTCCTTTTTATACAACACAATCTGAAAGCACTGCTGAAAAATAGAAATAAAAATTATGCTACAATTATGGGTGGGTCGGAATGAATTGTACTAAATGTTTTTATTTATTTTTTCGTTCATCTCCTTTTGATAAAAATATTCATCTAGACATTAAAAAAGATGTAAACCTATTCAGTCATTTAACTGTGATTTGTGATTTGCGACTGACATTTAATAATTTTTAAAAGCTTTTCTGACAAAATCATGTAATTATTATAGTGAGCAGTGACAAATGTAGGCTGTTTTAAGCCTTAAAAAGAAACTATGACCTAGATTCATCAGAAAAACAACTTTTTCTCTATTTTCGCATGTTCTTCTTAGAAACTGTTTCTCACAAATATTTTTCCTAAAATTTTGAAATATGCAACGAAATGTGTAGAATGTTACGAAAAAGCTTTTCGGCTATTTAAAATTTGAAATTATTCATTAGTTAAAAATTTCATCAATTTTTTTAATTGTCACAGCCGTTATGTGAATTATTTTCTTATTGAATTTTGCGGCAAGATTAAATAAAGAATTTGTTAAGAACTGTTGTCCATAATGGATAGGATGGAACTATTTCCTTGTAATTGATTGCAACAAGAGATATACAATATGGATGTATAAAATGTGCATCAACAATATAGTTGTCAATCGTTGCATCTGAAGATGAACGTACACTATACATATGAAGATAAAGTTTAAATTTTTGGATGTGATTTAAATTTTTAAGTATCCATTTTGATATAGGCAAATTCGAAATCATTATGGACGAAAACTTTCAAAAGTCAAATAATGCAATTTTGGTACCTAGAGTTAGTAGAAAAATAAAAAAGACACAAGAAAACCACTCTTTGAATAAATTATTCCTATTAGAAATCAATTTTCTCTGAAGTTGAGGATGTGGGCATAGACGAGAGTACAGTGAATATCAAAGTACACATACTATCACCCTAATCAAAAGATTGCGTTTGAAATTCTCTACAAAATCATTCATGATTGGAACCAAAGATTGTTTCACAAATATGTTGAAAAAGTGAAGATTATGGATGTACAAAAACCCTGAAAAAATGAAATATGAAAATTTTTATGGATCAGCAAAATTTTATCATGATTTGTCCTCGATAATTTCATTACAAACAATTAAATTTTGAACAAAAGATGATTAACAACACTGTCTCTATACAGTTGTTACCCTGTTTCCGATCGCTCAGGCTCAGCTCAAACAAAACTAACTGTCCAAAAAATCAAATGGCATCTGCTCTTCAAAAAATAGTTGTCAATAAGAAAACTAGGTATTGAAACAAAGTGTACATTGTTTGCTATCACATGAGAATGTTAGCTTTTTTCCATATAAGAAGGTCAAAGAGTCAACCTAAAGTGATCTGCTTAAAGAGTACGATAATGTTGCAAACGGAATGCTAATGGAATTTGTTAATTTAATGTTCTGTAAAAAGACTAGAAAAAGAAAATAGTTTAAGATTTGTACTTGTTTTCAATACAAAATCTCATCCAATCCGAAAAAACAATGGAGAAACTTGTATTTAGAAAGAGCACAAAAGAAATATCAAACATACGAAGAGAAAAATTTATTTTGCATTATCAAATTGTAAATGATTTCAATAAAGATGAAAAATTAATCATAGTGAATTCATCTCGCCTTTTCAAATCAGTTTCCATTTGATTTTGTTAGTGTTTCAATATCTGACTTGGATCGTGGTTCAAAATGCATCGGTTGTTAAAAAGCAATTGACAATCGTTCAATGTTGGATATATATTCAATACAATGTTCAAGAAAGCATGTATATTAAAGACAAATATATAAATAACGAATTATCCAACAACGGAATCGAATTTCATCAGTTATTAAACTTTATAAGGAATAGAAGATGGCATTAAACATTGATGAATATTAATAGACGAATTATCATTAGAAATATTGAGCCGAAGGTGTATTAATTGATAGTTACCAGAAAAAAATTGTTTTATCAACTATTTAAATCAAAGAAAAAAACATGGTAGATAGAATATGGGTGTGGGGTGTGGGTGTGAGTGTGGGTGTGGGTGTGGGGTGTGGGCGTGGGTGTTGGTGAGTGTGGGTGGGTGTGGGTGTGGGTATTGGTGAGTGTGGGTGGGTGTGGGTGTTGGTGAGTGTGGGTGTGGGTGTAGGTGGGTGGCAGTATTCTCTACACCCACACCCATACCCATATAATATTCATAAATTCATTGGTTTCCATTATCGAATAGGATATTGAACACGATCGTCCCATTGTTAGATACAATAAAAAAAGTAATGTCGCGATCAATATTTCTTAGTTAAACAGCGCTCTGAAGACTTTCGAATGACATTGCTATCAATTTGTTAGAAGTCATAATGTGCTGAATGACATTTATGTTTTGAAATTCTACAAGAATACGAGAAATATTCACAATAGTATTACAAGAATTACGTGTGTATTCTTGCTCACACTATATGAAATTATTCTACATCTAATCTGTTGTAAAACTGAAGAAAATAATTATAAAACCTCCATCGTATAATAAATACATTCATTATACATTTTCGAATGGTTACACAATCTAAATACAATATGACATTAGAAAAACAGTATGTGGGCGTTGCCATACTAAATGTCTATGAGTTGTCCAAATAGGATATACTCCTGTAGGAAAAAGTCGGTTCAAGAACAGATCTACCTATTCCTTAGTGAGGAAGATATCAATCCACTAGTATCACCTTTTGCTCTTCGGCGCCAGACTTCTGATTGAATTTTTTAAATTGCCACACAATCATTAAACGTACTTCACTGATTCTAACAAAAGTCATTGTGTAGTTCAATCGGCGGTGGTTTTCGTGCTGATTTTTATTAAAGCAATGAATCCGTATGACGGCCTCGAATACACAATGTAAGCAGAAAGCAAAATTAAAGACGATGCTTTGGATGCAGATTACGATTTTAAAAGATAATGGTAAGAGTTGTAATGAAAATCAGTGGTAAGTCGACGGTTGTAATATTGAGTCCAAAAAAAATGCAATGAACTGATTTAGACTAAGAAAGAATATTTATAACACGCATTGATATTCTCGCAATACTTTCCTATGCTAAATTGAAGGTAACACTTTACTACGTTTGAAAATCTTACCTCCTTATACTTAAGAATAACATGTAAAATCAATGTTATGATTCGAGTGTTCACTAGTAAGTATTTATGAACGATTGTTAAGACCTCCTGTAACAAATGTCATGACAATTAGATCATGTAAATACAGAAATAATATCTTATTATAACTATGCATTAGTTAGAGAATCCTATGTGATAATCTGTAAAAGACAGTATTTTTGAATATGCCTCGTCCTAAATTTTAGCAACAATTATTGAAGTTTCTGTTTATGGAAAGTACAATTCAGCAGTTTCTAAACTTTTGCTTCCAGTAGATCCACCGGTGACTAATACTTTTCCATCTTTCAGTATGGTTGCTCTGTGAAAACTTCGTGCACTAGCCATATGAGGACCGACTGACCAAATCTCAGTCGATGGATCGTAAAGTTCAGTCGTATTTTCGGTCCGTTCACCATATCCACCAGTAATTAATACTCTGCCATCTGGTAGCAAAGATGCTTGATGATTAGATCGAGCGTATTTCATCTTGCCAGAAGCTTTCCAATATCCTCTTGTTGAATTATACACTTCAGCGTCAGTGCTACGATCTCCACCTGTTACTAAAATCTTACCGTTGCTCAAGACAGTGTCTGTATGAAATTGTCTTGCAAAATGCATGTTACTAGTAGTTCTCCAAGTTTTTGCTGTAGGATCATACAATTCAGCGGTATTGTAATAAGTATGATCGCCAAATCCGCCAGTAGCTAATACCTTTCCATTGTCCAACATAGTCATTGTGTGGCCATCTCGTGCATCGCTCATATTACCAACCATTGTCCAAAGACCTGTTGATGGATTATAGATTTCAGTAGTTCTTAAAACAACATCACCATTATATCCACCACTAACTAACACTCTTCCATCTGGTAACATACAAGCAGCATGAAAATTTCGTTCGTCATTCATATCGGCAGCATTTTTCCAAGTTCCTGTTGCTGGGTCATACAGCTCAGCACTATCAAGATATTCACTACCGTTGTTTCCACCAGTAACCAATACTTTTCCATCTTGCAACAGAGATGCTGTATGACCATGTCGTGCTTGGCTCATATTACCAGTAAATGTCCAAGTTTCTGTTACTGGATCATACAATTCAGCACTATTTAGATTCACATCATTCATGGTGCTGCCTCCGGAAACTAGTATTCTGCCATCCATTAATAAGGTTGCTGTATGTTCATCTCGAGCATGATTCATGCTACCAGTTTCAGACCATCCTGAACAAAAATTTATTTCTATCTTGTAGAAATGTTTAGTAAATCTTAGGGAAGGATGCAACAAAAGATTTTATACGACATACTATCCTAATTATTCCTTGTGAATGAGATTCCTATGAATAGTAAGGTTTTAGTTAAACACGCAACAAATTTTTCGACAATAATTCGTCTAGAGAATACCAAAATGAATTCCATCATTCTCGAGGAATTCGTCTGAATACTGTCTGTCTCCCCACATTGTGTGAGAAACAAACTGATGGGAAATACAGGATAATGTGATTTTTACTTTCAAAGAGCTTTACCTCGCAGGTAACGATCGAAAGAATCCAAAAAATTGAGAAAACAAATGAACAAGTAGAATGTGAAGAAACTATAACGGCAGATGATTGGATTTTTCTGTCGCTGAATTTTTGAACTCAAGTGCTTTCGCTCAAACTTTATTTTTGAGCTTTAAGAACATTCAACGATTCCTCCTAATTCACGACACTTACAGTAATTGTAAACATAGATTTTAAAAGACTCGGGACCTATGATGCCTAGCCAATATTTTACAAGGTTATTCGTTTAGAAGCATTTATTGCTTTTATACAAAAAACGCTCCTTGATAGACTCAGCTGTTATTGAATCGTGTTTGATTGATCATGTTTTTGATAAATAATAAAAAACAAGAAAAATAGAAATTTCTTATTCATCGAAGGCGACGTTTACTGTTGACATCTTAATATTCCTCAGGTTTAACGAACAGATAGTTAACAGGTATAGCAACATAGTAAGTACTGTTCCTAGAACAAAACACAGTGATCAATGTACTACAGCGACTCATTTATATGATGTTCATCGGAAATCAAACTTCGCATGCTTAACAATATGCCGGCACAAATTAAAGTAAAGATAAAACTTTCGGTTGTTCGAAGTAATCTGTCTCACAAGAATAGAATGTTCCAACATTAGCAAAATGCCTTGTGATCATTTCCACATTGATGAACGGTGAAAATGATAAATTCTCATATGTGCAGAGAAAACATGACAGTAAGAATGAAAAATCTAGCCTTTAGGATAGAGTATTTGAACTTGTCTGTCAAAGAACTATTATTCTGTACTAACTTATGTTGAAAACTACTTTTAGCAAGTTGATTACTGAAGATTTTGTTTGGCTCTTGCTTAGCTAATCAACACTATTAGAGTACTCACGTGGCTCTGGAGTGGTTGAAGTTGTTGATGTAAATGTCGTCCTGAATGTAGTCGTAGTCGTAGATGTAGGTATAGATGTAGACGTGGTGGACGTCAATGTGATCCTCGAAGGAGTCGTGGATGTAGATCTTGATGTTGTTGTTTTTATTGTAGTTAATGTTTTAATAGTGGAAACATTATCTGGCTGCTTTTGTACAAGAATGACAAATTTTAACAACAGCGCAAGAGTAACTACTAAAACTGTTAGAATAATAAAGACGATACAAGTGATCTTAGCCCAACGATGTTGCCACCATTTGTTTGCTCTCTGCTTCTCAGGGGTGACTCCTTCGAATGTATTATTCAGATGCATATGGTTTGCTATAGCAAAATCGAACTCGAAAACCAACTAATAAAATTTCATTTAAATCTATGCTTTTTCTACGTCTACACTTGTTCGCACAAGTAGATAAGAAAAAATGATATAATTTGTAGTAACAAAATTATTGTTGCCTTTTTATCTTTAAATAACAAGTTCTATATATCAGTATGATAGAGCAAGAGTATACGTCATTCTTAATTTTTCTTTCGTCACGTTTTTGTTATAGTGTCACATACGCTTTTACTTTAACATTTATCATCATTTACGCTAACATCTTCTATATTGATATGTCATGAATACGTTGTAGTTCTCAATGTCTTTGTTTACGAATATTCATAAATCTATACACAACACCAGTGAAAATGTTCCAAGTGTGCCGGTTTTGAAAGAAGGGTATGAGCTCAGTTGAAATTTAATATCTAAATCAAATTAATCTAATACTATGTCATCGAAAACTGAAGGATGGTTGTCCCACTGAACAGAAGAATCAATCGTTAATATTACTTCCTCATGTAGCATGAAGCTTATGATTCTAGAAAATTAATCAGACAATTAGAAAGCCAAATTTTATCAAAACTAAGTAAAAGGTATGGGTGTGAGTCTGGGCTTAGGTGGAGGTGTGAATGTGGAAAGAGAAGAAGGACTCCCTCACCCACACACCCACACCCGACATCCACACCCACACTCCCCACGCCCGCCCACACCCTTCTGGATGAAAAGATATAAGCGGTAAAAAAAAGAAATTTTACAACAAAAGGTGTTGGTGTGGGCTTATGTCGGAGTTCATGGAGGGTCTAGAGTGTTAATATGATTGTGACAATATAAGTGAAGCGAAGACACAGATACACACCTACACTCGAAAGACTCTTCCATAAATTTTTACAATTCTCTTGAATGACATGAATCGAGTATTATTTTTTCTATTTTTGTTTTCAATAAAAGAATTTCTTGAAATGTTTGTCTTTTATGAATTTCAGATGCATTTGTGAATGCGGCATTTTCATTCTTGATGCCTTACTTTGTCTTTTTTAGAACCTAAAAAGTAACATAGAAGTAATCCAGAGCTGCCGGCCCACGGTGGGGAACCAGGCGGACATGACCTCAAGTTGTATTTTCCAAAGTCTAAATAATGGAATAAATACTTCTATGGTTAGTCTATCTTACCCTAAAACTAGATTTTCAGAAATCAAGTCACACGCTAGGAAAGTCCATCGTCAAAAAAATTGTTGATAAATCGGTAATTATACGGATACCATTTTTTTTTGTCAGCTTATCAAAGTATTTTAAAATGAAAAACTATTTGGAACGAATGATTGATCTATGAGCTTTATTGTGTGAAAAAATTATTTCGTTTGAACCAGAAATGGAATAGAAAAAAACTAACTACTGGGCCGAAAGTGGGTCGAAAAATCGGTCATACCGTATTTTGTGGACGCTACAAAGAGTTTTAATCCAATTGAGCTGAAATTTTCACTGATTATTCTTCCACGTTTAATGTATCGTTGATCATAGCGCCGTATTGAAATAATGAACATAGGCCGAGTTAGAGGTATTCCAAAAAACCAGGTTTCTGCCCCGGAATCGCTAGTTTTGCGAATATGAGAACATTTTAACGCAAAACCAAGGTGATATTCAAAATCAGCTCGTCGAGCTGCATCGAATCATATACAACAGTATGTGCTTCTGAGAAAAAAAGTCGGTTCCTAGGAACCGACAAGGTTTTGAAAACCAGCCTTTCCGTATTTTGTAAACGCTACAAAGAGTTTCAGTCCGATTGACCTCAAACTTTTCCTGATTGTTCTTTCATGTCTGGTGCGTTGTTCACCATTGCGCCATCTCGCGCCGATGAGCATAGCCGGCGCTACGAGTTTCTCAAAAACCTAGGTTTTTGGCCCTAAATTCCTGTTTTTCACAATAAGCCATCGTTTTGATGCAAAACCAAGGTGATATTCGGAACCAGCTCGTTGAGCTGCATCTAACGATATATAATAAAAAGCCGTTTTTTCGAAAAATTTTTTTTGACCTTTATTAAGGAAAAGCTTAAAAACCTAAGTCATCTCGTGTTTTTCGAACGCTACAAACAGTTTTCGTCTGATTGAGCTCAAGTTCTTATTAATTGTATACTTCCATGTTAGTTTATCGTCGGCTATGTGTGTCATATCGCATCAGTGTCCGTAGACTGGACAATGGATTTCCAAAAAACCATGATTCTCGCCTAATGTTCCCTTTTTGCCCTTAAAATAGCATCTTAGCGAAAAATCAAGGCGATATTCGGAATCAGCGCGTAAAACTGCGTCGATTGATGTATGATAGAAAACATTTTCTAACAAAATAATTTTTTCGAAAACTTTGGCTGAGGTCCCCCACAGGTGTTTTTTGGCAAAAAAGTTGTTCTTCCAAAAAGTGGTTTATTTCGTTAAAGACGATTTTCTAAGTGATATATAACCACTTCTGAGCTATAAAAGACGATTTTAAAGCAAGAAAGTTACATGTCCGCCTGGTATGCGGAAGTTCCCCACTGTGCGGCCTGGCCTGCTGTCTGACAGGCGCCTGGCAGGCCCTCAGGCCGTCCACCAGGCCAGGCCGAATTCTGAAATTTTAGCCTGGCCTGATCCGTCCAAATAATATTCGGCCTGGCCTGCAGGCCAGACCAGGCTGAAGTTGTTGGCCTGCAGGCTAGACCAGATCAAAATGATCAGCTTGTCCATGTAAAAATTTTAAGAAAATTTAACGATTTAACGAAAAGAAGGCATAACATTTTTCACTATTAATATGTGCTAAACGTTCTTTTTAACAAATCTAATTTGTTAATTCAAGCTAAACTGTTTCTGTCGAGATAGAATGTGTGGAATTTCGTTAAAAGCCAATTTTTAACGTGTTTTCAGATATATAACCGTAATATCTTTTCTCATTAAATCACAGAATACTTATTCACTTTTACTTGAGTAGTTCCTAAATGTTGAAGATCAAATATTGATGCATGGTCTTATTATCCGAAACTGATTTAACAAATTCATGCGATTCTAGCGGTCAAAACTTGTACTGAACATTAATTTAATGTTATAGGATCGGTATTCACTCACAGAAGGGCTTGTTTAGATTCAGAACAAATGGATAATAAATTTTGTGATCGCGTATTCATAAAATTTGATTCTTAAATAAAAATCTCGTTGCCTCCCATCATAAGTAACACTCATTGACGATATTTTTGTTCTGTATTTTCTTTACCTATTCATTCTACGCTTCGTCATATGTTGTTTAGTTATCATGGATATATTTTTTCAAATAATGCAGAACAGATTTGCTACAATCGAAGGCATTTTGTTAATTGAAGCCTTTCTCGGACGGTGTGTGGGTGTCAAAAAGACCTAGACAGATTAACATCCACTCACACACTATAGAAGCATCCTTTCTTCAAAATGGCCGACTCCAACAGGTCTTAGTATGTTGAAAAAGAGACCTATAAGCTAAACAAAAATTTGTTGACTCACCATTGAAAGCATTGTTTAGGCTTTTCAACAAGTTCCTCACTACACTTAAATAAAAATCAGTATAAGATATGCAAATTCATATTCGAAGTTTGCAGGCAATATGAATTAGACCAGGCCAGGCCGCAAAAAAGTGGTCTGTCGGCAGCTCTGATTAGTACAGAGTTATTGAATTTAATGGATTTCAAAAATCAGAAACATCAATCGGCCTGGTTTGACCTGCAGGTCAGGCCAGGCCAGGCCAGGCCGGAAAAAAGTGGCCTGTGGGCATCTCTGAAGTAATCACGTGATGATTCGTGATTGTAACACGATTACACTAAGTTAGGCGGAAAATATTCGATTTTTATTGCCGAAAAGTTTTATTTCAATTTTATCAAAGAAAGTCTATCTGTATGACATTTTGATACGGATGGTTTTCTTTAGACAATAAGTAATAACGAAATAGTTGCAAAATACAAACGGATAACCTCTCAACTATTTTCTCTTTTTTTTTGTCTTTTTTGTAGTTTTAATAATGTCATGGTAAAAAATTAAGTAGCCGATCGCTCATACGGATTTACTATCTAGCCGTAATAGTATCGGATTTCATTCATGCTTGTTTGAATAAAACGAAAAAAACATGAATCGTTACTGGAATGGATGAATAGTGACTATCATAAATTTATTAGAAAAATCTTATATCTTAGTCTGTTTTGGACGTCTCTGATATTTCGATTTGAACATGTAAGTGCTATCTTATGAGGGAGTTTACTAATAATACGGGCATATACGACTTCAATTCAATGCTGTTCATAACTGCTTAAGCACCTATCGTAGATAAAGATATCAGCAAAAACTCTTCACACCTCAACAAATTGATCACGATATTCTTCGTTTCTAACAGATTTCGACATAAACCCAGTAGTTGAAGTAACCATCATAAGAGTAAAGACGGATATGGTTTTGTTACGGATTGGATGTGTGAAGGCCAAGAAAAGATCCATATGTACCCTCTAAAACCAACATCTTGATCAAACTGCATTGAACATAAGAAAGACTCTTGAGCTATTAAAACAGCAATTTTTTGAAAAAAACAGATGGAAAATTGAATGTGAGTCAACATTCACAACCACAATATAAGTCTGTTGAACTTCTTGCTGCAATTTATACATATTAGTGTATGTGTGTAGAAGAAATCGACAACAAAATAAAAGAATTACTCTGTCGGTGTAAGTGATTATGCATGATTAAAAGACCAAATAATTATGATTTCAGATGAATCAATTGAAATACTTGATAAAGCAATCAGATTATTTCTGTTACACAAGACAAACAAGAATTCTAAATAAATATTTTTCTGATCTATCTATAATAGCAACCAGGGTCAACAAATAGAATTCCGACTATTCTAGGATTGAAGATTCGATAGTCATTATAATTTTTAGTTGATTCTCATTAGAGAAACCATATTAATGAAATGTGAATAGACTTATAATATCTTAGATTGATTGAAATTTTTAATTGAACTCATCATTTAAACTGTGCGCTATATTTTTGTTCGTTATTTCTAATACTTTTGTTTTTCGTCTTTCTTCTTCGTCAAAGTTTGAACAAAGGTTTTTGTTAATATACATATTGAACGAGACAAAAATATATTAATAAATTTACTTTTATAAATCTATAATTGACTTATTATTTTTATAATTGTATAGCAGCTCACTTACATCGACTTGACACATGAAGCTTCATTAAGAAAAGCAAAATTTATTTGAAGCATAAAAATAAAACAAAATTATGAATTTGAAAATCTTGTTTCAATAATTCAGCAATATAGAATATATACTTTGACATTCATAAACGATACAAAAATGACAAGCAAGTGAAGTGCTAAAGCAGTAGAGAGAAAGAACGACTGTCAAAATCGACGAAACGAGCCATTCGTTCATTGTATAACCTACGGTGTAGCCTTGAGGCGTAGGACAGAATCTCTCAAGTTCTCATGATAGTAAAATGAAAGCTAGAAAATTATCAGAAGAATGATTGAAAGTGTCATGAAATATTTTTGGACAAAAAAAAAACATTACCAATACAGTGATTGATATTATAACTGCTGTTGGCCGTGGTATACTTGCCACCGAAGGGATTTGCAATGATGATGATGTTGTTGTTGGTATTGTCGTTATTGCCGTTGTTGTTGTTATTGTCGTTATGGTCGTTATTGCTGTTGTTGTTGTGACTGTTGTTATTGTTGTTATTGTCGTTATTGCTGTTGTTGTTGTGGTTGTTGTTAGTACTATTGCTGTTGTTGTCGAAGTCGACGTTGTCGTTGAAGTTGGACCTCAATTAATTTGAATAGAGAAACAATTAACTACAATGATTAGAACATTTACTACTAACCAAAACTATCAAGGATCTGAAATTTCTGTACTCGATTACTTCCTGTGTCGCTAATAAAGATAGATCCATAGCTATCGAATGCGATCGCCAGAGCGAGATTAAACGTATCAACTGTATTTACAGTAAAACCAGTACAAGCCACGATACATTCGCCCGAGTCTGAATTCGGTGGCCATCGTAGAATTCGCCTGTTTCCAGAATCCATTATGTACATATATCCATTCGAGTCAACGACAACTCCCATCGGCATGAATAATTGAGATAAACTACTACCCGATATTCCAGTGCCTGCCACCGTAACACCAGAGGAAGCTTCATTATACCATATTTGGATTTGATGATTTGGAGCATCTGCCACGTACAGTGTTCCCGCTTCATCGACGAATATTCCGGATGGCATATACTGTAAAGTGCTACTTCTAGCGGTGCCATTTCCAGCGACTATCAAACCAGGCATACCGCTCGATGAGTTCGGTGGATAACGGATCACTATGTTATTGCCAATGTCAGACACATACAAGTTCTCATTATTGTCAACAAATATACTGGTGACAGTGACGAGCGTTGATGTATTTAGGCTCCTTCCACGTACACCTTTGATTCCGGCAACGGTGACTGGATTTGTTCTGTTTAAAAATAATTTTACGACTTGATAATTTAACATGTCTAAGACGTAGATATATTTTTGAGTGACAAAAACATCACTAGGATACATAAATAGATTTTGGGAGGCAGAGTCTGTTGTAATGCTAGCTATTGCCGTAGTTGAATTAGGTCCGATCAACACAATTCGATTATTCAAAAGATCAGCGATATAGAGAGTACCGTCACTTGCAATGCTTATTCCTCGATTTTGATTGAGAGTAGATTGAGATGATCCAGATGTGCCATTTTTCAAGCCTGCGACCGTGGTTGCATTTTGAGCCCAACGTGCAAGAGGCGATAGAGTTTGTAGAGCTGAATACATATACAAATGTCGACATTAACTGTTTCTTTTTAATTACATGAACATTTTTTTAATACTACTCAATGTCTATGAATTTTGAAGTGTGAATAAAGAATAGGAAAACATTCCAATACGTTTTTTGTAACGAAGTTCTCTATATTTTTGTAGTAGAATATTTTGAAAATTCTTTTCATTTAAATTACTAAATAAAATAATGATTGTTGATTCTGTTTCGACGGAACTAAATTTATCAGAAAGAAGATTCTCAGCTTATTCTTTGTGGTCCATTATCGATAATATTAGAGCTGTGTCAATGATGATTTCTAGATGAGGAAGGAAAGTGAAAAACTTATCTTTAGACCGTGCTCTCATATTAATGTTCATCAGTTCATATCTTCCTTATTTTGCTTGTTTTTTTTATTTCTACCCAAGTTACTGCTTTGTCCCTTCTATGTATGATCTTTAGTTATAATATCAGAGGTGGCGTTTTTAAACAGTTCAGCTGTTGATTTAAAAGGATTCCTATATTAGGGTCTGTAAAGAAAGAACTCGGACTTTTCAATGGTACCATCTCGTTTTAGACCGTTTTTGGTTCTCGAAGATGGTACTACTGATCAAACTGAAATTTTCAACACAGATATAGCATCAAAAATAGCGAGATACGCGTTCAAGGAGAATAAATTTGAAATAAATTGAAAACCAGGATTTTCCAGAAGTCCGCATCCTGGTCCATTACGATCCTCCTCACACTTAGTCCAATTGAGCTGAAAACTTTTTCAGATACCTAAAAGTATTTCTCGGAGATAAATTTAAGCTTTTTCAAAGATTTCACTTCTTTTTTTTCTATAAGAAAAATACGTCAAGGTTCAGGGCCGAAACCCAAATCTTAGCCTTCAGGACCCTGTAAATCTGGAGAGGAATGCCAAAAGTGGTTTTGTGATATGCTAAGCAAAAGAAAAAAAATTTCCTTATGGTTACTATGTAAAAAAAGCTTCTTTAATTCAGTAACTCTGTAATAGTAAAGTGTTTAGAGCTGCGTAATGTGTCTGATTGCAAACAACATTTGAGGCTATGATATCTTATACTCAAGTCGAAATTGAGATTTTGGTCGAAAAAGACGGGGGGGGGGGGGGGGTATCCTTGAACTGACTTATTTCGATCTTTTTTGCCTACTTTCAGAATGCAACGAGTTGTTCTCATAAGACATGGTACTTCAGATCCTAAACCAGTAAGCAGACCTTTTTTATAATAAAAAACTATGACCTTCTTTTCTATTAGCAATAAACGAGAATTGTTATAATATAAATTTGGGTGTGGGTATACGTATTTTTTCAAGCCAGATGCAGACCCGCACTCATACTCACACCCACATCCTCAGTGTCTACGATGGCAGCATAGATGTTCTCGTCAGAGGATTATTTCACTACTGAATTACACAATGATCACTATTGTTTCAACTTTTTGTATGTGAGTGTTAAAAGATTCTAAGGATTTTGTGCACACATAGAAATGTTGATGTAATGAAGTTAGCAAAAAAGAAAATGTATTTCTTACCAGTAGCACAGCGTAATAATAAAAATGTTAGCACCCAAAAGCTAACAGTTGTTGTCAACGAGATGGACATGAACATGTTATGTTCACACCACATTTATCGTGAAAAAAAAGTCGATTAGGTAATAATGTTGTTCTTGACAAAAATCGATTTTACCACAAGGAAGAGTTTCGAAAGAAAATAGGTCTGCAAAGTGAATCAAAAGTCATAATTTCAAAAGAAATCGACTATCAAGCCGCCTTTTTGTCTTGAAAATGCATTGATTTCTATACTATTATTGAAGAAAATGTTCATAATTTATATTCATGACAGAATTTTCAGCAAAAAGTTTCTGAATGTTATTGTACAATTTCATAACAATAAAGAAACTGCTACCATCACTTCTATAAATAATCTTAGTTATCTTCATAACCGAAAATGAACGATACAGATTAATGACTCGATGCATTCTATTGAGTATCCTCCTCGGATCTTATATGTATACTAACATTTCATATTAGATTACTTGAGTTTAGTCTTGGACTTACAACAATAGACAAGGAACATATTTTGATGAAACTAACCTTTGTTCAATGTGAGTTTTATGATGAGAAATTAATTATATAATTTCTAACCTGCAAACTATCCAAATGAATTGTTAATAGTTATGAAAAAATGGAAAATAGAACAAAAACACTAGTGACATCATCCTTACAATGATCTTAATGATTAGAGTAAACTGAAGTACGAAGGTATGAAAACGTTGAGATGAATAAAACAACAGATCACAACAACACTCGAAAGAATGGGTCCAACAACTAGACTGTATTATGAGTGGCATTTAGAAATTATTTTAGTAAAGATTCTTTTTATTAATCTGAATTATGAACGTCGTCTTCATTATTAATGAAAAAGCTAACATATTAGTGTAAAAGATCGCATTGAAATATTCCACTCCTTGTAGAATAATGATTTTTGGGCTATTATATCGCATTATGTTCTACTATTTTGTCAGAAAAATTTGATTTATTTAATACAAACCGTGATAGAGAATAAAACTATGAATAACAATGAATATGATTTTGAAAGTGTTATTCTATTTTATATTCAAGAGCATTCATATAATGCAGATGTTTTGATACTAAATATGTCGTTCACAAAGTATTTTTCTAGTAGCAATTTAATCACTTACATCGTATAAATTGCTGTACTTCATATATATTGTTGGTTCCTTAAGCGACTCATAAAAGTCATCATAATGTAATCGACTGTTGAGAGAGGAAGAAAGCAAAAAGTTTAAAACTAATACATATTTCAACAATGAATAAATTATTTAGCTGTTTCTCATTTTAAGATATTTTCAATGAGCTTGCTATGCATATTGTTAACAACAAATTATGTAAAAAAATTCAGAACAAATTACTCTAGTTTATTTATTTTTGCTTATTATTACCAAAGTAGGTTGATAAGAAATGAGATCATCGAGTCGATACAGATAAATAAAAAAATACATTTCAAGTAATATCGTTTTTCTATTGTCTTTTGCTTGTACTATGATTGAAAGTCTCACAATAATGAATTTTCTAACATTCCATTTTATTTCAATGACGTTTTTCATTGTTCACGATCTAGAACGCATTATATAATTGCCGAGAGAAAAAAAAAGGCAAACGTTAGTATATTTATAGTAATGAGGATATTGAAATAGGAAAGTAGTAGCGATGGCATCAGTGAGTTGAAAAAAAGAATACTTGAATAGTTAATTGTAAGTTATTTTTTTGATGCTTCAAGAACATGATTTGCCAAATCGAAACAACACATTTTTTGTTACTAGTTGAATATTTGGCAAAGAATGCTTAATAAACTGTTTCTAACAGATAACATCATCCTCAGATGCCATTATTGAGCAATTTAGAAAATTACATAGAACTTTTTGTTTTCATAGTTATCTGAATATATTGAAGGCATTTTTGATTGGGTCAGAAAAACATATGTACGATTCATGTAAATGCTTCGTGTCAATCCTAGAAAAAAAATTACTTCAAGAAAAGCTTATCGTAATTCTTAAGACAAAGATTTCTGTCTCAGATCATCTATTTTTTTTTCTATCCATTCTCTCGAAAATTGACATATAAACTTATTTGCTGTACGTTTTTTTTTCATTTCAAATGTTCTATTTTGTTGAAAAATATCAATATTAATTTCTTGTTTAAGAATTTCATATACAATCTACTGATGCATAATAGTAATGCATTAAATATGCTTTACTTAGGAGATTTTTATGTCTATTCTTTTTATAATGAGAAACTCAAGTGTCATATTCAAAATAACTAACAAATTAAATTGTTGCATGAAAGTATTTTTAAATATTTTGATTAATACAGAAATTGTTTAGAGAAAATATGGAACTAGTAATCATCTAATAAGTTCCTAATACTTAGAAGACTGAAATTCGTTTATCAAAAACGAACGATATTCTATGTGAAGTGAAAAATATTGGAGGCTTCGAGCTTGTTCTAGAAATGACATTATTATCTTTAGGTGGATGTAAATGTTGATCAACTCTTCGTCCACATCCATACTTGCATCATTTTTTTTCTTGCTAAGTTTTGGTCTAAGCCTTTCCAATATACAATAAAGGTTTCGAAGTATATCGAGTGCATTGATGAGCATTAAGAAAAATTACTCATCAATTTAGACCCTAAATTTGATCGTAACTAGAAATTTCCTTTCTCAACATATCAAGTTCACTTTTGGACTGCTTGCTACTGTCTGTCAGACATATATAATGGTCTGTAGGTCTCATATTCTATTTCACACTTTTACTTCAAACATAGATATGCAAGAAATCATACAATGCTATTGAACGGTGAATAACTTAGAAAGTATTTGTTTTGAACCATCTGAAATTTTTAAACTATGT